AAGGTTTTGCATTGTAAATACTTTATTATGCTGCATGTCTCAAACATACAGCAATTAAAATGTAACAAATCAGGCTCTTTATTTACAGTAGCCAAGAAATATCAGATATACCAACTGTTTTGGAGTCAATAGCTGTTAATAAAATTCTAATTTTTTTCATTGCCAAATAAATGGTTATCATTCTTCTTTATTTAAATGGTTTCGCAGTGGTAAAAAATACAAATTGAAACACTATAATATATTAGAAAAATCATTGACAAAAATTTGGTATTAAGAGATTATTTGCTTCTTGTGGGTAAGATGTACTTCCAAAAAGCAGCCCAAAGTGGTAAACAATTTGATGAAGATTGAGAAAACAATTTTTATAAAGAATTTGTTTTTGTTTTTATGATTGTAGGGCTTCAAAAATTTATTCTTATGTTTTGAAATTATAACCTAAAGTTTACATAACAGGTTTATGTTTGAAAAAAGAAATTGATGAGTGTATTACCTCAATGCACCAATCTGAATTTAAGATAAGAACTATTGTTACCGATAACCATTCTACAAATGTTAATGCATTTTTATAGTTTTGTAAAGCATATACTGGAGATGGAAAATTATCAGTTTATTATTTAGTTTAGAAAAGGAGTGTTTAAAATATACTTGATATTTGATAAACTCGGTTTTTGTTTTTTTCTTCTTGTTGAAGTTACTGCTGATTACATTACACGGAATATATTTCTTAAAGTTTATTAAAAGATCACTTATTAAACAAGCAAGAAAAAGCAAGAAAAATTAATTATCAAATCACATATTTTGGTAACAACAAACAAGTTGTCAACATCGACAATATTTGACAAAACAACTGCAGCTACAACTGCTAATTTAGAGTTATTTTTCTGAAAGAAATAACGCAGCACAGTTATCATTGTTTTATAAGTTATTTATCATACTTAATTCAAAGCAGAAACTTAATTCATCTAATCAAACTCAGCAATGCTGCTTTGAAAGGTGATAACAAACCCACACTTTATAGAGAAATTGCAAATTGTACTGAAATTTGATTAAAATAAAATTTGATAAATAGCTGACATTAACCAAACAAACATCTTGTGCTCTAACTACAACACTACACGCAATTGTATTTCTTATGCATGATTTCCTTGAAGAAGGCTTTACATTTGTTTATAGTTAATTTACAAAAAGATCCTTTAGAGCTAGGTTTTATTAAGTATAGTTAAATGCCCAATAGTAGACTTTTTGTGAGCCTTTTAGAAATGTGCATAAATAAAAAGATTTTGGCAGATTTTTTCAGAAAATATTTACCAGAATTTTGATAATCCTTAAAAAATATTATGAAAGATATTGCTTAGTTGTCTAAATAAATACTACTGTCAGCTTTCTGAAGATAGCACAAATATATATACTAAAGCAAGTAATAATGGTAAAAATTAACAGAAAGATTTTGATGTTAAACTTAGGATCAATAAACATTACTTTATAAAGAGAAGAACCTATATATTCAATTCAACCTCTGTCTAATTTTATTTGTCATCTTTAAGGTATTTTATGTTATTTCTCTTATTCTAATAAAACATTGCAGTCATTCTTTTTTAATTAAAAATTTTCGAAACAAATTTTAAAGATTTGATCTAGCAGTTTTAATTTTACAAATAAAAACCACCAAAAATGGGAATAAAATATAGATATCGTATTGTATTGCAAATTAATATAAAAAAAATTATTTTATTTTTTATAGTATTTTGCAAAAAAAAAAAAAATTACATATTCATTTAAAAAAGATCAAGTAAAAGAATTCCAAAAAAGACAAAATAAACATTTCTAGCAAAAATGTATTTCTTCTTTTTATTTCAATTATAAAAAATACAAAACTACAAACCTTTTTTTTGCTCAATGGAGAGTTTTAGGCAATTTAAGCAACATGAGAGATTATTTTTAGTAGAATGTTGGTATGGGTTGATATAGTTATCTGGAAGCCTATTTCAGTATTCTGTGTTGTTGGAATAAACTGAAGCAGGCAATCAGTTAACAGAAAATCTAGCACAAATTAATGTAAGTACTTAAAGAAAATCTAACTATTATTAAACCATTTTAATAAAATAAAAATAAAACAATTATGGTGCAAACAAGACTCTTAACATAACAAAAAATAAGTTTTTATACTTGAGCCGTAAAAAAACTGGCCTCTTAATTTTTTACGGAAAATGCAACAAATCAGGCCGTGTAATTTAAGTAGGCCATGGTACCATCTATACATTTTAACATGAAAAATAATGTTATTTAAATCTACCATAAGTAATAATACATTCTTAGTTTTTTTTATATTGGTATATATATAAATAAATATATATATTTACAATATGTATATACATATATATATATATATATATATATATATATATATATATATATATATATATATATATATATATATATATATATATACACAAAAAAAAAAAAAAAAATATATATATATATATATATATATATATATATATATATATATATATATATATATATATATAAATGCTATATATTTTCCAATAAATGATACATTTGTTTATAATAAATACTACAAAAAATACTTGTAACAGATACTTTACACTGTACACACATTTTATACTATATACTTACTATTTACTTTTTACAATATATAATAGTTATACTAAATAGTATAATATTATATATATATTTTTAAAATAGAATAAGATCTTTGCTATATAATATATAATAAAAGTCTTATTTTAATGTAAAATTAGTAAATAATATTAACTATTCTAATAATATTTATTGAATTTCAATAATATTTTAACAATATTTAATACTTATACATATTTTTAATATGTATAAAAATAGGCAGTGGATAGCCTAAAAATATATAACTTATATGTTTTATATACTTATTATTTACTGTATATATATTTCAGACTATACATTATAATAAGTTTGTTTACATGTTTCACATCAAAGTCGTGTTTATAATTAAAACTTCAAAAAGTTTTAAAAGTTAACTGTAAATTAATATATTCTGAAGAGCCTTTCTCTTATAAATGTCTAAAGCTTTGGAGCGCATTTTGAACACAATTTGTTTTTCTTTCAAACGGCGCTCGGTAGTTTAAAAATTTGCATGATGAAACAACCTAATTTTTTTTTCGTATTAACTTTTCTTCAACGACGAAGTTGCCCCTCATTTGAGCATGTGCTAACAATCATTACGTGACGATTCCAAAGGCAAAATCATTGTAACTTAAATTATTATTTAAAAACTACTGACATCAATAAATCAAAAAACATATACTTTGTGGTCAAAACAATGCGTATTTTGATAATTTTTTGACGATAGGCATTTAAGCAGAAAAACATTTTTTCAACTTTAATGTTTATTTGCAATATTTAAAGAATAATCGGAGGTAAATATATAAAACATTTATTTAGTAATATTCTACAAATATCAGTTGAAAAAGTTTCAAAAAAACCTAGTTAATAGATTTCTTAGTTTTTATGCATTATTATTTTAAAGCTGAGTCGCATAAGTGACGAATTCGCTCCGTGACGAATTCACCCCGCCTTACCCTATATCAGAATTTCCAAAACAACAACGTTTTTAAAAATATATATTACCACACTATTTTTTCAATATAACTATAATTTTTTAAATTTTTATAACCAATCACTTTTTTTAAAACCCAAAATGATAAAATTTTAAAGAACCTTTCCTTTAGATAATACTAGAAAATTGTATGTTCAAGTGTCTTAAGGGACCTCTTAAAATATTTTTAATACAAAAACTTTTTAAAACCAATGTTTTTTTTATCATATAGAATTGTTCATGGGGATAGTTAAGTATATTTTTAAAAAATGTTGTTTCTTGGAAGACTATAATAACATTTATTTATTTAAATTTTCAATTTGACTTCTCGGTAAAGCAGTTTTTTTTTTAAACAAAGTCAATATTTGACCCAGCTTTCAATAAGTTTGTTGCAACTGTTAAAACACCTTTTTTTTTAATTTCTTTTTAATCTTTTAACGTAGCAGATTGAAAAAAAAAACTTTTTATCAATAAATATAGTTTTATAGGACAAATACTTGTTTTGTTCCTGTTCTGGCATTTTTAGGATACTCAACGTCTCCTCAATGATTTTCACACTATTTAATGTGCAATTTGGTGGAACACTGTCATTTCTTAATAAAAAAAGCCACTCATCGAGTTCTTTCTCAATACAGTCGTTACACTTTGGTATTGATATAACTAAATATTAGGGAAAAATTTCAGTGACGAAATTTTTCCCCAATATTTAGCAATAGCAATAGAAATATTACAAGAATTTGATTATTTTGGCCAGACAGTGAAACAAAACTTTATTTATTTGTTATGTTTTATATGCTTCAAATACTAAATAAAAAATATTAACATGCTCTGTATGTTTAAACTAACTGAAAAAAAAGTACTCTGGTTGGCAACATCTTTTTTTGAGAATCTTTTTTTCAAATATGAGTACTATAACACAAACTTTTAATTTCATTTTTCAAACATTTATATTTATCTTCGAGATCTAAAAGAAAATATTTTAAAACTCAATATGTATATCTAAAGATCAAGAGCTAAAAGATTTTAAACTCAATATGTGTAAGGATATATGTAAAGAAAAATTTAATTTTTAAGTATAAATATAGCACATAAGTATACCAGATTTTCCCAAACAACAACGTTTTCAAAAATATATACTACCACCCTGTTTTTTTCAGTCTAATTATTATTATTTAAATTTTTATAACCTATCACTTTTTTTGAAACTCAAAATGATAAAATTTTAAAGAACCTTTGTTTTAAATAATACAAGGAATTTGTATGTTCAAGGGTCATAAGGGACCACATAAAATATTTTTAATACAAAAACTTTTTAAAACCAATATTTTTTTATCATATAGAATTGGTCATGAGGTTGGTAGAATTTATTTTAAAAAAATGTTGTGTCTTGGAACACTATAATAACAAGTTGAGCGCTATTATTTATTTAAATTTTCAATTTGACTTCTCCGTAAACCAGTCATGCTTGAAATAAAGTCAACGTTTGACCCAGCTTTCAATAAGTTTGTTGCAACTGTTAAAATAGCTTCCTTTTTACCTTCCTCTTTACCTTCCTCTTTACCTTTTAGTGTAGCAGATTTTAAAATCTCTTTTTTATCAATAATTTTAGTTTTATAGGACAAATACTTATATTGTTCCTGTTCTGGCATTTTTAGGATACTCAACTTCTCCTTAATGATTTTTACACAATTTAAAGTGCAATTTGGTGGAACACGGTCATTTTTTAATAAAAATAGCCACTCATCGAGTTCTTTCTCAACACAGTCGTTAAAATTTGGTATTGATATAACTAAATATTCGGGAAAAATTTGGGTGGCGTCGCTTACTTCCAAATGGTTTAAATTATTATAGCAAGACGTTAGTTTTTCCCCTGTACTTAAACCAAAAAAATTCAACTTGCCATGATATACAGTATCGTTTCCAATTTGGAAAAAAAGGAGAGAGATATGAAATATCTTACTAATTTTAATATAGTCTGCACATTCAGCAATACTGTCCACGAATAACCTTGAGGTTTTGAACAGCGCTTTATGAATATACGATTGTTTATAGCTTTTGTCAATTTCGACAACATAAAAACGATGCTTTTCGTCTTCGACAATTAAGTCGGCTAAACTACTTTTAGATTTAAAATGTTCTTTATTGCTTCCTGCATCAAGCATCTGGACTATTTTTATATTGCTATAGCCACAGGTCTTGAAAACTGATGAAACAAAGCTTTCAATAATTATGTGATTGTCTTTATCTTTTAAAAGATACTTGATGGCATAGTCAAACGACACCAATTGCTTGCTCATTTTATTTTTTAAATTCTTTGGCTGC